CTGTAGCCCTGGCTCTCCTGGAAAGTCTCTGAACAAGGCTGTAACCTTTTACAGAAGTCAACTGCCACCGCTTCCTCCCACGGAGCTGCTGATGGGGTCAAACCACTGACCTTTTCATTTAGCAGCCGTGTGTTTAAGCACTGCGCCACCAGGGCTTCTGATGAGCTTATAGGGAACATTTAAGTAAACGACCGTATAGCCATACAACTGTTCAAAATGTTTAAAAAAAACGTTGAAGCAATTTTTAATGGTGAAAACTGTTTACAAATGATAGAAATACCTTTTTTTTTTTAAAGTTTTTATTGGGAATTGAGTGATAGTTTACATGGGAGAACGTCAGTTTTATAGGCATCGCTTCATTGCAATGATTACAATAGAGAAACCTGTTTATTTTTATTTCATAAAAAAAAGTGGGTTATACCAACAACAATTTTACTTCCAGTGGTCAAATACAACAATGTGTTTAAATGGCTTTGTTTTAAAAATTTGTATACACTCACATTGTTTTTGTTGTTAAGTGCCATCGAGTCGGTTCCGACTCAGCAATCCTGTACAAGGTTTCTGAGGAGTGGCTGGTGAGCTTGAACCGCTGGCCTTGTGGTTCAAACTGAGTTTGCAGTCAGCGCATTAACTCTCAGTACCACACCAGGATTCACAGTCATGTTAGAGTATGGATGTGCATGTTCACCCCAACATATGAACAGTGGTCGTCTCCATTCATATGCATCAGGATTGCAGGTACATTTTATCTTCTCCCCACCTTTTTGAGAGTTTGGATCTTCTGCAATAAGTCAGTTCCTTTTTACAACAGAAGCAAACAACATTTTTACTTTGGAAGAAAATAAAGATGGTTCCGCAAACCAGTGAATGATAAATGCTTTCTTCCATATAGAGCCTGAAGAAGATGTAGTCTCTGTTTTACGTGACCGGAAACTGGACAAGGAGGTAGTGAGCCCTGAGGGGAAATGCTAAGAATCAGAATAACTTCAGATTAAATGTGAGAACAAGGCAACTCTGACTTTAGTATGTGTTGCTGAGTGTAAAACGTCTGTCATGTTCATATAGGGCACCCATGCCAGAACAGAAAGAAAGCACTGGGGACCCCATGTGAAGCCTACACGCTTAAGGGGACAAACAAAAAACATCCAAATTCCAATCCGTTGATGTAGCTCCAAATTGTGGTGTCTGGAATTGTCACATGCAGTTTTCATTATTGTAATCGCAAAACAGAAGCAAGTTTCATTCTGTTTGGGCCCAAGCTCCCTTTTTAGGTTCTCATATGAGTCCCTTTCAAATCATGTTCTTTTCCAGCCTATATCTATTTCAATTATCTAACTTTGTTGTTGTTGTTCTTACTGTTAGGTGCCATCCAGTTGGTTCCGACTCACAGCGACAGAACAAAACACACCCTCATCCTGCACTATCTTCGCAGTCACTGTGACAACCCACCTCATTAACGATCTTCCTCTTTTCTATTGACCCTCTACCACTCCAAACTACATGATCCTAGGAGCTTTCCAGAGCTGTTGTTGTTGTTAACTGTTACTAAGTTGGTTCCAACTAACAGTGACCCTTGTGCAGAATTTCTGAGACTGTAAAGCTTTATAAGAGTAGAAAAGCTCATCCTTCTTCTGAGGAGTGGCTGGGTAGACTGGAACCAATGGCCTTGTGGTTCTAAGTCCAGTGTTTACCTATCTAAAAATATGCCAGACAACTTTAGAGAGTAAATTGTGGTGAGCATGACTCTTTTAAAGAGGAAAATTTAAGTGGACTTTACGTAGAGTCTTGTTTTTTCCTTCAAGTATCATTTTAGGGGGCAATTTCAATATTGCTGCCTTGAAAACGCCTGCCACTTTACAATAGCAACAATAAAAATTCTTTACACTGATAGGTTATGATGCAAAACAGAAAGAAGATAGTAAATATACTAAAACCCATTGGCGAATTTCATGGTTGTTGTTGTTGGTAAGTCACTATGACTTGAATAATGATGAAATAAAAGAGCTAAACAAATGATTTCAAAGGACAGCTCGGGGAGATAAAGTAAGGAGACACTGAATGGTTTAAAATCAGTAAAGGCATGCACCAGGGTTGTTTCCTTTCACAATACTTATTCAATCTGTAT